TATATATATATATAAAGGTACAAAACACATTGTGTGACAACAAAACTGGCACATCAATGAGCAATTATGCCTCTTCTTCACAAGATAAGGAAAACAAGGGAATGAAGCATGTCCACAAGCTTTTAGACACTGGAAATACACACTATCAACTTTTCCAGCAAAATGTCAATTCAATTAATTTCTGTATGTTTTGTTGCTCAATGGGGAGCCTTTATTAACCCCCTGGATAGGGTAGTGTTATCTTCATTCTGAATATAACATGGGAAGGCATTTACGGTTTAACAATATACAAGAAGAGAAAATAAAGTTATCAACAATTAGCCCTTAATGCATGTACAATGGTATTCTTTTTTTCTTTTTTTTCTTTTTTCTCAACAGAAAATAGAAATAGAATTCTTTTTCATTAAATGTGAGTTCTCAAATAGAGTTTGTTCTCTCTTTTAATTTTTTAATTTTAAAAGTACCGCAGCACCTGCGCATGTCAACCAGCATCACAGGTGCTACATTTTGGTTTTTAGCCGTTGGATCAAAGGATCTCCCTTTTTTTTTAATTCTTAATTGAAAATTTTTATTTAAATATATAAAATATGAGTTAAATAAAAATAATATTAATGTAATTTTAAAGAAACTCTATGTATGGAAGGGCATGTGTTTTATTTAAGGATTAAATATATAAAAATAGGAGTTTTATATAAAATAATATTAATTGTGATGAAATCACAATAGAGTTAGTATTTTCATTGTTCCCTTTAATACATACTCTTAGGGTTAGAATAAGGGAATAGTTAAGATTATTTATTAATTTGTTAAAATCATACAATATTAATAAAAAAAATTGATTCTATTTAATTTAATTGTTAAGAACACCTAAAAATAGATGTAATAATTAATATTTATTACTTAATAAATTAAAATTAATTTGTAAAATAATATTTTCAGATATTATAACTAACAATTTAAGAAAAAACTACAAATATCAATTAAATTAAACACAATTTGTATGGTGTAACCACACTCTTATGATAGTTTTGGTTAAATCTACCCTTAAATCTATTAAGACTGCCTAAACTATTAATTTTTTATCTTAATTTAATTGTTAAAAATAATTGATAATTTATATAACAGTTAGTATTTATTATCTAATAAATTAAAATTAATTTTCAAAAAAATACTTTTAAATATCATAACTATGCCTAAACTATTAAATTTTTATCTTAATTTAATTGTTAAAAATAATTGATAATTTATACAACAGTTAGTATTTATTATATAATAAATTAAAATTAATTTTCAAAAAAATACTTTTAAATATCATAACTAATTTTTTAAATAAAAATATTATAAACAAATAAAATTACAAATATAATAAGTGACCGTAACAAAATAAAGTATAACAACCCCAACCCCTTAGGACAGGCGATTTTTCTCTTTTTGAATTCATACGTTGTATCGCATTTATGGTGTTTTAAGAAACAGTGACCTCTCAACAAAGAAACGTGCCATATTTACTGCCTGTAAACATCAGTGGGGTGTCTAGTAGTCTTCGGAAGATTTTCAAATCAAGCGAGAAGCAACCTTGTTTATGTGTCTGTCTTTCTCACATGTTCTATTACTATAGCTGAATTGTTCGGAGGATTCTTCCTCCTTTTTTTTTTTTTTTTTTTTGTCTCTTGTGGCCGACAATCGTTAAGAGGATTCAAGAGTCCAACTTTTGATTATCCTCCTATATTATATGTCTGTTTTCCCATGTGTTATCACTGTCCATTCGGTCCCTCATTTCAAGCTATTTTTCTGTTCATCATGCACGATATTAAATTCTGGCCGACCATGCTGCTTTCAAATTTTACTTGTATAGTATCAAAGTATGAGTGAAATGACTCCAATTAACCAAACTGGAGTGATGCAATTTATCTGGGACATGCAAGTTGTTCCAAGGCATCAGCTAATCAAATAGGTTAACAACGTTTTCCACTGTATATTCTCCCGAATTTGTACAAGTAGAATCAAGCATGAGGTTCAATGGAAACGTTCCTACCTCTGACCTCCAACAACTCCCTGGAGGTTGGGTGGGCGAACCTGTTAAACGGCCTTGCCTAGCCTTTTCCAATGCATGAAAAATGCCGCCCAATTCAATAAATCTCCGCTACTATACTACATTTATTTTCCTAAATTATAGAGCACTCATGAAATAAGAGTGACATGAGTTTTTTTATTTTTTTATTTTTTATTCTTTATTTTTTATTTTTCATTTTTTGTTAGACCACACATCCAAGCTACTAGTTCTCTATGCTGCCAAATCATCGACGTTCTGACTTATGTTTTATCCAGCAATACACAATTTAATGTTTTGTTACCTCACTAGAATGAATTACACCGTGAGAAAAATGCCGTTCAAATCTGGAATGGTGAAGAAAGTATCAATCCGGACCACAATTGACTAAAATACACTCAAATTCAGGGACATTCAAAATAAGATAGTTTCATCATTTCCAGCTCCGAATGGTACCCTTCTCTTTTCTTCTTCTTCCCTTTTTTTTTTGCCAGTTGGGATGCCCAAAAACTTCTGTTCCATTTACTAGGAAAATAGTGAACAGATATTAGTTTAAATAGAGAACAGATATACATTATACATGTACCATACTATCTTTTAAGGATTACGGATCCGTCTGCCAAAGAATATTAATAAGTAGCCAAAATTTCAGTTTACAAGAGTAGTATCCTTACATTTGGTAAACATAAATGGTTACATTTCGAGAGTAATTTACTTTCTACTTCAGGGATAAAGCAAAAAAGAAACCTAGAATAAAGAAACAAATCAATTGAAGGGTAAAAGGCTTTTAAAAAAAATTTATATTACAAGATAGAAATTATTTTACACAAATCAGGCTATCCAGAAGAGTTAATACTTGGATGACCTAAAGCAATAGTAAGAATGTATCATTGGCACGGGGATTATATCTATGATTGCTGTTCATATGTCGGGGCTTGTCGGCTATCGTACAGTCTTGCTTGGTCAGAAAAAATTGCTTGAGGATGTAGCGGATCATATATGAAAGAGCTTTGCAAAGGGTTAAAATATTGTTCATTCTCAGTCAAACCTCCTTTGCGCTTTTAAGCACCTGTCCCCCAGAGTATAAGAAGCCGATCAGGAAAAGGCTGAAATTTGCATTTTTCTGGTTCATGTTTTATTTAATATCAAGAATTATGAGAGCCTTGGACCATCAAAGTAATACGCTTAGCACTGTCTGCGCGAAGGATATCTCCTTTATAACCAATCTGGGAGGAGAAATAATATTCAAAATAGCCTCAAAACACTTGGATCTTGCCAGAATTAGGTAAAAATTCTAAAATAACACTAACCCTCAACTTGGTAAAAAAACATTATTGGGAAAGAAGAAATTGATTATTTATTCAATGCCAGAATAATTACCTCAATTGGACTATCAGCAGGGAACCACCGCAAGAGCACACCTAGATGTACAACAGCTGGTATCAGCTTGAAAAGCAATGGTGTTGTCACCTGCACAACTGCTTTGTCAGCACAGATTGGAATCTAAATATAAATTCAAAACAGAATTATGCTATTAGAATCAAATATGAAAGAATATTATGGTGAAAATAGTGTACTTCAATTAAATGAGGGTCACGATTCCTATCAAACTAAAATTTTTTACCCTTTTTTATGAGAAATTAAAACATGCATGAGTATAAGCAGAATAAGCAACTGTAGAGAGAATTAATCCTCCGAAGAAAACAGTTCATTTAGACATGGTAGCACAAGTAATCTGTTTAAATGAATAGATTTTTCTCTGAAAACTAGTCACCAATACTCAACATCAAAGAAGCATATTTACAAATTTCTTCTGTTTAAGGGAGTATAACGTGGATAGCAAAAAAAAGGGAATCTAATGTGGACAAATACTGTTGTCAGTAGGTTACAATTTTCACAAAACGATTTTTGAGTGCAATGGTAAAGGCTAACATGAAAAAAGACATTAAAAAAATGAAAAAATGAAAAAATGAAAAAAAGAAAAAGAAAAAAGAGAGCATTGACATGATACGATTGAGAACCTTCATTTCACTACTAGAGACAGCTAACAGGATTGTTAACATACCAAACTAAGAGCAGTAGTGCCCAGAAGCAGCAGATACAGTTTTCCCTGGAATTGTTTAAAAAATAAAATAACACCATCACATTGCAAAAATTCAAAAATAGCACAACAGGAGAAAATGTAGGTGATATTTACAACTGAGACCTAGACAAACAGCTTTGAACTTTCCATCAAAGCATATGCTATAATTCTAAGATTTAATAACATCTATGGATCAAGAAATTCCACCATGGTGTACTACTTCCAAAGAGTAGGGGATAGAACAAGCATTTTCAAACTAGAGTTCTCAGTTTCTAATTATTAGACAGGCACTCAAAAAAGATATCTGTGCAAATCACTAAAAGTTATATTGGATTTCTATTATTCCTAAAATTTTCTCAAGCTACCAGATTGAAGAGTTGATAGCTCAAAATTTATGAACATACTTCATATCAAAATCCCTCCACCAATTATGGACTTTAAACTTAAAAAAAAAAAAGCCCAAACCACACATGCATGATTAACATGCATAAGAATCATCAGGATGGTTACTTACAACTCAAGATGAGATGAATACACTACAATAATTTAAGTACCAACCTCAACTAGATGAAGATTAGAAGCCCGACTTAGGAGAACAAAAGCAAACTCTCCAATTTGAGCCAAAGACATACCAACCTACTCATATAGGAAAGAAGTAAGAAAATAAGACATCTTGTTAATTGAATGATGTCAATTTACACATATGTTAATGGCATGCTCAAGTCTTACAAGAAGTGAGGTTTTCTGGCTGTATCCAAATCCCTTGACAACCATGGCAACCACCATTGTTTTAATAACAATTACCAACAACACAGCTGCCAATAATATGTCAACATGATTCCAAAGGAAATGCACATGAATTAACATCCCAATACTGGCAAGAAACAAAGCAGCAAAAAAGTTCCGAATGGGTTCAACCTGGAATGGAAAAAGAAAATAAGAAAAAAAATAAAAAATAAAACAACCGTCTGAAAAATGTTATGAAGCATACAAAAGAAAGCCAATCAAAGCACAACACACAAAAACTTGAACTTTCTTGTAAAAGATTTTCTCTAAGAAACTAAAAAGGAGATTCCAGATCATTAATCATATGTTTGCATATTAGAAACCCTTCACTATGGACCAAAAACCAAAAATAAAACTCACAAACTCCAACAAGAAAGCAGCCAGGGAAAAAAAAAAAAAAAAAAAACTCTCCAACGAGAAAGAATAACTGGCTATATAAACAGATAAAGGGTGCGCATGTAAAGTAGAAGATGATTATATTTAATGGCACCTCCCTCAACTTTGATGCAAATGTTTTTGTTTTGCAATGTGACATAAAGTCAATCTGTAGATAGATGCAAGATTACACCTTCTTAAAAGCCAAGTAGTTAATTAATTTTAGTTATGAAAAGTCAATACAGCTATCTAAAATAGTATTAATATTGAAGTTAAAAGTACTCGTTATGAATTTTACCTCTATCAGATTAAAATTTCATTTTGGCTAGCAGATTATAAGTATTTTAGAAATATAAATATATTCCACCATTTGTGGCAGTTCTTTCCCATTAGCTAAATACATAGAGTTAAGATTGGTAATTCAATCTAGGAGATTACAACATAGGTTAGAGCATCTGAAAGCAATTCAGGCCATACAATTTTGCGTGATATCTTTTAAAAATGGTAACCCCCCCACCTCACCCCATCCCACCCCACACACACACAAAGTAAATCTATGACTCTTTGAGGAATGCATAAAGCTATATTTCACCTTTTCTCCCTCACAGATATTGATGTTTCGTTCTCCATTTTACTCTCTTACAAACCATTCATTTCAAGGGAAGAAAAAAATATCCATTTATGATAACAAAAGCATGCCTTAAAATGCAAAACCACCAAATAATCATGAAAGATAAGATGAACATAAACAAAGCCATCAAGCATACAAAAGTTCCTAACATGATACCCATGGAGAATATTACTTGTTCAAGTGTATGCTGAGCAAGATCAGTAGTCGATATCATGACACCAGCAGCAAAGGAACCCAGCTCAAGGCTCAAACCCAGCTTATCACTACACTGGAACATTGAAACAGCCTATGTTATACACATACAAACACACAAAGATGAACATACTGGTAAGTAACCAGTGAGTAGAAAACACCAAGAAAAAAAAAAGAAAAAAGAAAAAGAAAAGAAGAAGAAGAAGAAGTGGGTATAAAGTTTACTGGTTGGAAAGGCAAGTCATAATGCAAGAATATCTACAAGTGCAAAATATGTAGAATATTTTACACCTAAATGAAATATAAAAGGAATAAAAAAGATGGAGACAAATATTTCAGAAAGTTTTCTATGGAATAAGTGTGCAAGAGTCAATTACAAATTTACAACGCAAGAATTAAGAAGAGGGGAATGGTGCAAACCCAAGCAACAAGCAAGCAGAAAGCAACCGATGCCAATTGATAGAGTTCATTAGTCTGTTAAATAAAACTTCAGTCAGTATATGTCTACCACAGCATAAAGAATCAAACTAAATAGCCCAATCTTACCTGTGAAGATAGGCTTATCATAAGCTTAAGAAACCAGGGCACACAGGTTCGAGACAATATTGTCAAAATGGCCAGAAAAGTAATCAGCATCACCAACCTGAAAATACATAATTACCATGTCAAAAAGGACCCATGAACTTTGATATTCAAAGGCAGGTAATGCTTTTGCAAGATTTGTGTCTGCTGCATCGAAAGGAGCATGTTCTATACAATTTTCACTTACGATTTGGTCATGGACAATACTCCTTGAAAGATGCCAGAAGAACCACCTAGAACTGGAAGTAGAGCGAACAATAAACCCACAGCACAATCCTGGCAAAGGGCAAGCAAAGATAGAAACTTAATAGCAACAAGTGAAATACATATTCATACACCAGATATCATCAATTTTGCATTCACTAGCTCACATATTTGATAGGCAAGAATTACCTGTAGGATTAGTGTGCCTATTGTAACCTGACCATGAAGGGCACTAATGCTATTTCGTTCCATCAAAAATTTCAAAACCTGGGCCATACAAAATAAAATACAAAATAAAACAGGGCTCAAATAATGGCAAATTATGCAAGCAGAAGAACCAGCTATGAAGGCTTTCATTTGAGCGCATATAGATTACAAATTCTGTACAAGTCCTAATTCTATGCAATATGGACCAACAAGAAGACCACACGGTATAGAATTGAACTAATACCCTAAACATTTGGATAGGAAACCCCTTTTAAAAAATTATTGGTTTTATATACAAGGCCAAATATGGTAACAGAAACATGTAGCCATGTCACAGCCAAAATTAGCATGAAAGAAACTATTCAACCCACAGCTTTAGCACATCAAAATCTACCACCAATCAAAGTGTTCTTAACCAGTAAATAAGACAGAAAAACTCATCATGTAAATAGCACACAGATTTGATTTGCCACTGCTGTTGAGGGAAAATAAAAGTATAATAACTAATTCGTAAAATAACGCAGAGATTTACCACTGCAGTTGAAGACATAGAAAGTAACACACCCACAAAAACTCCCTCTGAAGTTTTACCACCACATAACTGCAAAAAGCATTCAGCTGCATCCATCAAAAACTCATAGCTATAATGATCTGAGTAAAGAAGAAGAAAATGAGTGCAACAAAGGTAACAATCAAGCATAGCCCTTAAAACATCATCGTGAATTAATAGATATCACAGATTGGAAGATCGTTCAAAAGTCCCAACACAATAAATGATCACTTATTGATTTCAATTTATAATCATGATTGTAAGTGCCAAGCTTTAGTGTCAAATTAATTCCGCATGTTAGTTAGCCCTTGATGTTTGATTTGATTTACCTTTTTTTTTTTTTTTTTCTCTTTAATCCATATAGAGAAGACGAAAAGAAATCAATTTCAGCTACTAAAAAGGACAGGTGCTTTGCTAATCCAGAGAAGACCCCACCACTTTTGTAATTAGAACCATTTACACAGAAAGACAGGCGTATGGATACTATATCTTGCAATGCTCTAGGAAATGAGTCACAATTCTAAGGACCACCTGAATAGTCATGTATTTTGGTTCTTATACAACAAATTTTCAACCTACAGCATACCCTGGCTGTTATTCCACACAAGCACATGAACAGAAGAATTTGGAGAAGACCTCCTAGGACAGCAACTGCTCGAACAACACGGAGCTGTAGAATTTTCAACAATTAAGCACCATGGATTAAAGGAATCATTCTAATAGGGGAAATAGAAGCAAACCTTTGTTGTTGAAAACTCCAGGCCAAGTGCAAAAAGAAGAAAGATTACACCAAACTGTGCCACTGTTTCAACCTGAAGACACATCCATGCAAATATGATAGAAGTAATAAGAAAATTTTTTAAATTAACAAATAGTATAGTTTATGAATGTTTAAATAGTGAGGCACCATTATAGTGTCCTTTGGAAGAGATTAGTTACTTTACCGTACTAGTACAAGTATCAATATATGCATTATGCATTAACATTTTCATACATTTGTTCAGCCCAGATTTTTGTTTTATCTATATGCCAGAATGGGGAAAAACACGATAATGCTTGGAAATAGATTAATTAAATAGACCAAAAATCTGATTTGGCTTGTCTTTGGCAAGAGTATCTAGACATCCTGGTATCCACATTGGACATCAATTCAGCTTCAATTCTAATACAGTTAAAAATTAATGTAAAGATTGTACTTAAGGAAAACAAAATGTAAACTGCCAGCCAGCAAAAGGCAAAGCCACATACTTGCACCATTTCACTAACAAAGCTAAAGCCACCAGGCCCAATAATTGATCCTGCTAGCAGGTACCCAGTAATAACCTGAAAATTCCAATGTCAATTTTAGAAACTTCTCAGAAGATGATATGAAAAACCAAATTTATAAAAAGGCTTTCTGAACAGGGGAAAGCTTTGTTCGCGTCATAACATTTCAATATGTGAAAAGTAAAATGGGTTTCCAATTGCCTAAGAGGCATTAGAGCATTGATAGTGGTCTAACCGGTTGTCCGGCACAAGCAAAGGCAATGCCACCACAAGTTGCAGAGACAATGACAACTACTAGTTCTGATATCAGTCTGCATAATTTATTTTGAACCAGAAAATTGATTTCATCACATATATTTAATGAAAATAATAAAATAAATAGACAATTAAATGTTAGAAATCTAACCTTAAGTCTAGTTGTAGCATGGGATACTTAGATTTCGGATTGGACATTATGAAAACATTATCCTGAGGACAAATTTTCCAACATGTTCAAAACCCAAAATTCAAATGCAGGTATCTCAAAAAACCATAATTGCTTCAAATGGCTTCTCCAAAAGGCAATGCAGAAAAACACAAGTTACAGAAACTTTCCATGGACTTTATTTGCACATACCTTACGATCTATCAATGTTGGTGTATCTTCAGCTCGATTCTCATTATCCAAGTTGAAAACGTCATGAAAATGAAATTGCCTATGTAAGGCTTACAAATATGTAAGAAGTCTTAATTATGAGTCACCAGAGCTAAACTTCTTAGATATTAAGAGAGGTACATGATATCAACTTATTCCTCCTCAATTCAATTTATTATTGTAAATAAATAATAACAATTAAAGACTTACTTCTCTTCCTTGGTCTCATTTTTCTTGGACCTAACTCTAGCAACAGTTTCCAGAACAGCCTGAGAATATCAAACGAATTATGTTATTTCAATAAATTTAAAAATAATGAGCAGAAGACATTGCAAGTAGACAAATGTTTTAAGATCCGATTGACATAGTCACATATCATTTCTTGCAACCACAGGGAAGCTACCATATGCATTTCAGCGAAAGGCCTGATGCCAGATATAGAATTAAAATAAAATTCTTCCATGGTCTTAAGCTATAACTTGCCCTCATAAAATCCTGGTGAACAAACTCTTGTCCATATCAACCTCATGAATTCCCAGGAAATCGATCAAGCAAAGAACCTGATTCCAACTTAACTGCAGCTCACTGCCTCAAAGGCTTCTCAACATTCTAAACTAACTAGTTAGTTTCTATGAATTTGGGTCTTTTACAACTTGAATAACAGATGATTGAACAATTGCTTTTGGAGTTTGGAATTGGGACTATAGCCCAGTGAGTTTAGCCTCTTGGTCGCTGGTGAGTCTCATAAGTCATAAGTTCCAAATCAGCAGCCAAAAACCTGCATCTCAACTTTTCTCAGACCCATCAACACTTGCTTTTACACGTCATATTGTCATTCTCAAAAATGCTGCAATTTTACAATTCTAAGGTTATATCAAATGCAGTATACCAATTCAAGGGTGGTTGATTGGATTTATCACCAGTTCATGGACTCCACCATCAGTGATTAGCATTTAGCAACATAAAATCACGTGAGAAGGAGTCTCCACATACTGAACAGACAATACCATTCACCAAAATAGTCCAGGCAGCAGTCCCTAATCAGTAACCAAAAACCCAAAAATTTTCAGCTCATCAATTTGCTCCAGCCAGTGAATCTTCCAACTAGGCCACATTTAAAATGCAAGCAAAGCTCCCAAACATACAGTTCTCCTAACTTCAGCGAAATTATGAATAGATGATATAAAATTTGCTTCACTCACACAGAACTTCAGCTTGAGTTATGAACTTATAACCATAAATGTCATCAAAACACCTCTGAAGTTTTTGGTTACTTTTCTAACTTCAAACCTTTCTAACTATTATTTGGCTGACAAACCATTCTAACTTCAAACCAGTCAACTATCACAACTGGTTGGTTCAAGAGTCATAAGCATTATACAAAATAAAAACAAAATCAATTTATGGTCACCAAGAAAAACTGTCCTCTCCCTTATCTCACCTAATGTTCTTACACATATCATCATCATTTCATGAATTAGTGAATAAAAAATTATTAAAGTTCAAGTAACAACCTGCTGCTCAGCAACACTATTGTTGAAGCTTCCAGGATCAGTCACTGCACGACAGAAAAGAAAAAAAAAATGAGGTCCTTAGGTTCTGCTAGATTGCTCGACAAACAAAAGGAAAGAAACTAAAATGCTCTAGTATAATAATTTTAACCTTAAAAACCAAAATTACGTCAATCAAAATACAACACAAAACTTAAAATTGGTTAAATAGCTTTCAATGTTGTATACTACAGAAAAAGAATTACGATGAAATTCAGGATTTCAACTTCTATTTTCTTAGCCCTAATTTCTCACAGACAAA